CTTTTTTAGTCTTTGCTATGATCTCATGTACCCTAGGCTGGCCTAAACTGGCTGAACTTGAACTCTGTTTTCCTGCCTCTGCCTCCCAAGCACTGGGATAGCACTCTCTTCGTTTCCCTTTTATTAAAAATAGATTTTCCCCCTCACATAATAGATCTTGATTTAGGTTTCCCCTCCCTCTCTTCTTTTCAGTTCCTCCTCATCTCCCTCCAATCTGGATTCCCTCTGTCTCTGTCTCTCATTAGAAAACAAACAGACTTCTAAGGGATAATAATAAAGTATAATCAGATGAAACAAAACTAGCATATCGGACTTAGACAAACCAAACAAACCGAAGGGGAAGAGCCCGAGAGAAGGCACAAGAACTCACTTGTTCTCATACTCACAAATCTCATAAAAACACTAAACTAGAAGCTGTAATACACACGCAGAGGACACAGTGTAGTCTGAGCAGACCTTTCTGCTCGCTGCCTTAGTCTCTGAATTCTTGTGAAGGCTGCTCTTGTTGATTTAGAGGGCTTTGTTTCTTTGTCTTCCTATATTTCCTCTGGCTCTTACACTCCTTCTGCTTGCTCTTCGGCAGATTCCCTGAACCCTGAGGTCTGATGAGTTAAATCTGTCTTCAAACTGCTTACAGACAGTCCCACAATACAAGGCCAGGGGTGGGGGCTCCACAGAACAGTCCAGGTTTCCTGGGTCTGGCTGGGGGCTGGCTGATTGTTATCTTGGGTCATTGTCTTAGGATCCACCTTGTAGAGCCGTGTAAGTGCCAAGAAGGTCTCTGTTGCTTAGAAAGTGATCTCTTTGCTTTGTTCCACAGTCAGACTTGTTTCTGGAAAGACTCAGGAGAATTCAGAATTCAAAAGGAAAGAAATAAAGTAGGGTCAGAAAGGCAGAGGAGTTTGGTATGTCAGTGTAGGCAAAATAAAGAAACCGATGAAATGACCGCTCATGGGTGGAAAAGTTGAAGTTTATTCCAAACTGCCAAAGCTTCCTAGGTGGTGTGTGTGTAAATTATGCAGGTTATAAGGAGGATGAGTAGCTGGGGGTAGGAAAGCCTGTGTGCTGAATCAGCCTGGAAGATTACAGTAGGAGTTGGTGGAAAGGGGTGGGAAGGGCCAGGACGGGCTCTGAGATGTGCCCATCACACATACAAGTATGTGGGAATAGAGACCAGAGAAGTCTGACGGCTTCCACTGACTTTGGTGTACACTGTAGGTACATGTCAATAGGAAATCAGATGCCTCATCTGCCAGAGGAAGAGGAGATGGGGAAGTGGCTCTATGCATACAGAAATCATTTCATAATTCCCTGTGCCAGCAATCCTACAGTCCAGTGTGATCTGAACCAAGATTGTCATTTCTGGACATATGCACTGCCTTTTGGGATCTGGGGAACTGGAGATTCCTCTGGACCTGACAGAGCCTCCTCTCCCCCTCTCTCTCCCTACTTCTTTTCTTTCCTTTTTTAATTTTTGGGACAGGTTCCCACTATATATTCTGGCTGGCCTAGAACTTTATGTGTAGACCAGGCTGGCCTCGAACTCAGAGAGATCCATTTGCTTCTGCTTCCCAAGAGCTGGGATTAAAATGTACCCCATTGCCCCCAGCTGTGCCTCTTTCAGAGCCTTCACTTTCCTTTTTCTTTCTTTTGTTTTGAACACTTATTTACTTATTTTGAACACTTATTTACACACTCTGAGTGTGTGTGTGTGTGTGTGTGTTTACACAAGCATGCTACTACATGCATGTGGAGGTTGTCAGGTTTCAGACTGGATATTTAACATATCCAAAGAAGACAACCTTTGGAGTCAATCCTCTCCTTCCACCACGGGGCGGATTGTGGGGGGGCAAGTATCAAACTCAAGAATATCAGGCTTGGCAGCAGGCACTCTTTCATGATGAACCATCTTGTTGGCCTCCATCATCCATTTTTATGGAAGGGTTCTTAAATTGTAGGCCCAGCTACAACTCTTCCTTTTCTTCCCCATTCTTCAATCTTAAGGGACTTGGCCACTGTCATTGACTTGGCTATCTAGTGCTTGACTTGGTACTGAAGTGAGAAAAACATATTTGCTAAATCCTGACCTGACCTCGTGCTAAAACAGAAGGCAGCCTGACCCTCAGGAACTTTTGCTAACCTACGTTGTTCAGCTTCTATGACCAGAAAGCTTTCTGCTTCCTGATCAAACAGAAACTCCCTGGCATCTGAAGGGGTTAAACTGTCAGACTTTTACAACCGAATTCAGGTTTCAGTTCTTGGCAAAGCACACACGCAGGTGTCTCTCCCAACGAGCAGCCAATTATCCACTGCATCCTTCCATTCAGGGTCAAGGGGGTCTAACAAACACAGAGGGTCTAAGTTGGCCTCAGGATCTCAAGGACAAACCCAGCAGCACCCTTCTGAGTCATGTCCAAGCTTGTACGTACATGTCCAAAAATGATAACATGAAACCTCGGCTAATTAAAAATATACTAATGTAACAACTGTTTGCTTAACCAACTAAGTTTGAGATGACCTGACTGCTCCTAAATTCCCCTTTGCTATGCTTAAAAGGAGCCCACATATTCCTCTCAGGGTTTGTGGCCATTTTGTACAGGGGAATAACCTCACATGCATGTCCTCCATGCTATTTGAATCTGGGGTCTTCAGTGTTTCCTTGAACCCTATAACCCTACTTGGTGACACAACTGTGCCGTATTCTTATTAAAAGTTCATATCCTGTCATGCTGGCTGACAGCAGCTACGTCAGCAGGAGGTACCAAACTTCTGGTTTCTTCACCTTTATAACCCTCTGCTCACTCAGTTTGGGCTGCATTTTTAGACCCGTGGTCACAAAAGTGTGAGCCCCAGCTGGGCCTGTGTGGCTCAATGAAAACTGCAGATTCACAGACTGTCCTGATTGGTCACCTTGTCTTGGGTGAGAGCAACCGAGCTACAGCATTGTATAGATTTCATCAAGCATATCAGTGCCACCAGGTACATCAAAAGGAACCAAAGGCCAGGTGTGATACTACATACCTTTAATCTCCACACTCAGGAAGGAGGCAGTGGTAGTAGAACTTCTCAGAGTTTGTGGCCAATCTGATCTACATAATTTTTTTTTTCAGTTCCAGGATAGCCAAGGCTACAGAGAAAGGACGCTCTGTCTTTCTTTTTTCTTTTATTTTTTTTTAAAAAGACTTATTTATTATGTATACAATGTTCTATCTGCATGAATGTCTGCAGGTCAGGAGAGGGTGCCAGATCTTACTACAGATGGTTGTGAGCCACCATGTGGTTGCTGGGAATTGAACTCAGGACCTCTGGATGAGCAAGCACTGCTCTCAACCACTGAGCCATCTCTCCAGCCCCCTTGTTTTTGTTTTCGTGAGATGAGGGTTTCTCTGTGTGGTCCTGGCTGTCCTGGAACTAGCTCTGTAGAACAGGCTGGCCTTGAAGTTACAGAAATCTGCCACTGCCTCCTGAGTGCATGCCACCACTGCATTTTTTTTTTTTTTTGACAAAGTCTCTCTCTATTAAATAGCTCTGGCCATCCTGGAACTCCATATGTAGACCAGGCTATCCTGGAAGTCACAGAGAGCCACTTGCCTCTGTCTCCTGAGTGCTGGGATTAAAATTGTACCATCACCACACCCAGCTAAAAATTCACACACACACACACACACACACACACACACACACACACACACACACACAC